ATCTCTTGTAGACATTTGGTATGGTCAGGAGGCGTTGAACCAAAATACTCGGGGATCCTTGGTGGTCCTCAACCAAAGGGAGACGCTCTCCTACTTATAGACAGGCCACAATAGTGAACAAACTCTATCTCCTTATTATATTGCCATGCCAGGCCTTCAGCCTCAAGTTCCACCACCTTCCACTCATAGTTACCTGTGCTTAACATACAAACCAGCACCTCTCCAGTAATACTATATATTTTCCCAACTCTACTCCCAGTTATCTACTTTCCCACACCAAAAGATGGAGAGTCAAATGACATTATCCTAGGGAGTTTACTCCTGGAGGAGGGAAGAAAGCACTGCTAACCCTCCAATAATTTAATCCTGCATCAGGTCTCAGAGGTGCCATTACTAGTTTGGTCTAGAAAATTTTTTCTCTTAAAATCTTATCTTAAGACTAGGTCCCTAAACTCTTCCTTTAATATCCATTGCCATGTGGCCTATATGGCAGACAGGTATTATATGAAAGTAAATGCTAGTAACGGAATATTAAGGAGCCCAATAACATAAAGTAGCATGTCGGAAAATAAGCTCACTTTCTCGAGTATCATACCTCCGAAAAGTGAGGGGCCGTTGCAGACCGTGTCTTGAGATAACCGTGTGTTCTACACACTGTTTTCCCTAATAAAAGGTGTTGCTAGAATATGTTTAAAGGTGTTAAAGCGTGTTAAATCAACTTAAATGTATATTAAGCAAAATTCTGTGCAGGTTAACCGGTGCAACACGTGTAGAACACACGGTCCTCTCAACACACGGTCTGCCAAACACCCCCTGAGCCCGCAAGCCCGTGGGGGTGAGGTGGCCACGCCACAACCTTTGCCCGAGTAACTCGACAATCACCACTCTGCCAACCAGCCAGCCCAACAAAATAAGAACTCTTGAGGATGCTAGGTGCGAAGGAGACAGCTGTGCGGTATTTGGAGGGGTATTTACCATTGATTCGAGCTCAGCTATCCCCAGGGATTAGGTGCCGGTCTCCAGCACGATCCTAGCCACAAAAGGAATAGATAAGTAATAGATTCTCCAAAAAAGGAACGCAGGCATCCAACTCAACAGCAACTGCTCTACCACCAGCGGAAATAGTGGAGCTTGAAATCAATTTAACAATAAGAAGGAAGAAAAGAAAAGGGGAAACCATCGCACCAGAGATATTACGGCCAATTGCACCCCTAGCCTCCAACATAGATTCCGGAACGCTCTTTCTACCGTTGGGTTGTTTGCCGAAGGCTCAAGCACACCTGACCTTGTTTGGGGAACATCGGCTCTTGAAGACGCCACGCGCGAAAAGATTCCAAACCAGAAAAGGTGAAAACTCCAGAGATTACAAGGGAGTCTGATTTGATGTTTAGTGAAGTGCCACAGTTGCCATTCTCTCGTGGGAGGGGCATTTCAAGACTTGGTTATGCCGGGGATCCCCCGCCGCCACCACTGAGGTTATATGGTGCAGTGGATAAGGAGGGTTTTTGGGGCCTCCAGGAGGCCCAAAAAAGAAAGAAAGAACCCCAAGACCCCTTGTGCATCACCATCCATCACTCGCTATTCGAACACCACCCCGCAAAGGAAGAGAAAAGAAGTACAAAAGCAAAAATTCTAATAACAAATTAGCTAGAACGTGGAGACTCAAGTATTTACAAAATTCGAGTCATTTTCTTTTTTCCCATTTTTGCTCGCACTCACTTACAGCAGAGAGTAGCGAAGTGATGAGCGAGACGTAATCATACGTGCCAAGCTAGTACTTTCCTTTCACTATGCGAGCACTGTACTGTACCGGCATGTAGAAAGGATGTCGCACCATACATTGCAAAAGACCTCAATGAGATGGCTCAAAAAATAAATCCCCCTTCGGTTCCAGTCCGACGCTCCCCATGCCCAACAAATTTCCTGCAACTACCGAGTTATTCAGTCCGAATAACGCCCTACGCAAACTAGTATTACACGGGGTCTACAGAAAACAGTTCAGATACCACCGGCGGAGGTCGAAAAGCATGGGGTGTTCCCGGACCCGGGTGGGCCGCCACCACTACCAAAACCTAGAATTCAAGCTTAGTCCCCATCTCTACCATTTTCAATTACTCTACCACGGACTAAACCCAGAAGCGATTCCTTCGGCCACCTGTGGAGACTCCAATAAACCTATACCAAGTGCTATATCTCTAGAGTTGCATCCCCGGTAAGGCCTCAAGTATGTTTGTCTGTCTCAGAGGGGCTAAGCAGCTCACGTTTTGCTGTGCTTTTCGCCCCTTCTCCAGGGTGGTGAGCTCTCAGCCGGTTGCCACATGGACCGGCTGTTTAAGCTTCAATGGTACGTCCACAATGTTCCCGGAGTGGGCATTGCCATTGCGCTTCGGTCACCCCGCCGTTTGGCCCCAAGATGTAGGAACGATCCACACCCTGTATTTTGACAAGTCAAAGCCGTATAGCACTCGATCAGCAGAACCCGCGGTCGAGAACTGAGAAACTGCAATTGAGAACCCTATCAGACGAGAACCGTGCCAAAAATGCCCGAGTTCAGTACTCGGGGGAGGGGGGGTCATTAAAAATCAGAAAATACCCGATGGCGACGTAGGCATAGGGACCATTCGATCGGACAACCATGATGTCCGGAAAGGAGCGCAAGGTCGTAGAAGCCAAAACCCCGGACCGGTTTCCCTTGAAGCTGCACCCAGTTATCATACTTGTAAATTCTGAGGACAAGTAAGAGAACACTTTTGAGGCACGCCAATCAGAGCTTTAGCTTCCAAGCCGGTTACGGTCCGGAACATAATCGCCGGAGCAAGGATCCCGCTAGTTCTCGATTCTTAATGATCCCCCCCCCCCCGCAGGTATGATACAGCACAGAGCAAACAGCGTAGCGCTTGAGTGTTACTAGGCAACTATCATACTTGGGTTTCAGAGTTCGCCCACTCCGCTATACGATTCCTATATACGGACGCTAGGTTACGACACAGAAACCCAAAGCACCCAATAAAATCATTCAGCGCGCCAATGTGAAATAAAATCCCCTAATACCGGCCACTCTCCCATTCCTAAGAAATAAACTGTGACACTCCTGCGAAGGGGGAACCCCCTCAGCAAACTCAAGCATTTCTGCTTCCGGGACGAAATATCTAACACAAATTCAACGCAAGGCATCGGCAGAATATATATGGTCAACCGTCTCCTGCTCTAGATGCCAGCGTGGGGGGGGGGGCGGACGCACCCCCCGTCCTTGCTTCCCCAATCCGCTTATCCAGCAAGATAATTCTTGCACCTTCTCATTTGGGGAATCTCGGCAGCTAAGGATTTCGGCTCGGCCACGAACGCCCTCCAGGTCCGGAACGGCAACCACCAGCCACAGCACCCAGGGCCCCCGGCCACCTACAACCCGCGGACGGACCCCCGCACCCCGCCAATTCCGACCAAACACCCAGGAACACCGTTAGGCCGCCGAGGCGAAAAAGAGGTGCAGACCCGCCGGAACGACCCCCGAAGACGAGCGGGGCCACCCGCAATATCGAACATCGCCCGCACCATCACAACAACCCCACTAAACCAGCCTTACCGCCCCCCTCCCAAACCACGTCAAACACTTTCACCCACTACCACCCCGAACCACGGTGCCACCGAAAAATCACCCCCGCTATACAACCTGCCTGACTGATATACTACTCCCCACACTTCAATTCCTCCCCCGGAAATTCCTAGCTCTTCCCGCCAGTTCCATCGCCACTTCGTGCTATACAGAGCCTCCAAGTCTATCATGGCTCCTGTCTATCCCACTCCTCCTCACGGTCGCCGCCCGGTCGTGTAGCCCACCACCTCTGCCTTTGCCACCACCACCACAACCACAACCACAACCACAACCAGTAGCACCCCCACTCCCCACTTTCGCTTCCAAACCCTTCTCCTCATCCTCCCTCCCATCCCTCTCCAGTCTCGCAATTTCCTCTCGTAATTGTGTGATATAAAGCTTTGTTCCGCCAACGGACTCGCCGTGGGAACAGAGGCTTCCCATTTTTCGTTCACGGCCTTAGAAAGGCACTAGGTAGTGTGTTTAGTGGGAGTTGTAGGAGGAACACGTGGCCTTGGTCGACGATTGCCGGTAATGTAGCTATCCGGGGGAAATAGGAGAGGATGGAGTGAAGATACGAGGAGGATGTAGGTGGTGGGGCTGGAGGAAGAAGGGAGGAGAGGTGGAAGAGGAGATATATACAGCATATACCTACCACAACCACCCCCACTCCACCCCCTAGCCGGCGGCCAATCACCTATCACCCCCCGCCAAAGCCGACAACACAGCCATTGCGAGAATTTCAAAGCTTAAGCAGCCCATATCCCGAATAAAAACTCATCTTCAAATTCATCCATCCCATCGACCAAGGTCAAACCCAGAGTTTAACCCCAGTACCGCCAAGAAAAAATGAACCCACCACACAGCTTTTAAGAAAAGGAGGCATTATAATGTAATCACCAACCGTGGTTAAATCACGAGACCCCACCCAATCGCACATCTCAATACCTTTTCATCCTACCGCGATAGCCTCTAACCCAAGGTTATGGGCCATTGTTCGCAAAAAAAAAAAAAGGCATCCCATTGTGTGGGACACCAACATCCGGAAAACTCCAGGTAGAGGGGATTGCGAGTTGATCCGCCCGGTATTTAGTATATTAATATTGCGAGTTATGGTACCGTCCGAAGAGCGGGATCACTCCATCCAGGTCCTGGAAAACCCGCGAGTGATCATGCATGACCACAACGTCACAGTAAACACCAAAAAAAAAATCTCAGACTGCGCAGGAGGCATCCGGATTGATTGGTTAATGCCACTATCGTACAAAAATCAGCCCTCTAAAGCATGCTATATATCAGCCACAGATACCCAAGGCATTAATTCTCCTTCCACACAAGCCATAAAGGATATACCCGAAGCCCCTATCCTGCCCTCCCGGTTCCCCCCGCCACCGCACCCCCAAACCAGTTAATCATTTCTACGCCTCCCCGCGCCCCTGCTCCTCGGACCGTAACTCCTTCTCTGTGGCGGCCGCTTATCCCGCGCGGACCCTAACTGAATATCCACCTTTGGAGGTGTGGAGAAGCCGAAGCTTTTGGCAACTTTGACCAGGTCGAGCTTGTGCACGTCAAAGACTGTGCGGAGGGAATGGGAAGCATAGGCTTGGAGGTACGACCTTTCACCCTCTTCGTCAGCGCGGTTCGTTTATTTTAATAGAAGGTGCGAGAGAGTAAGGAGGGAAATCAGAGATGCCTATCAGGGCAATTTGGACAACTCATGCCGCGGGGTCTTAATCCGCTTCGTATACACGGACCAAATGTTTTCTCATCATCCATTCCCCCTTTCTCCTCTCTCCCATACAGCCTAGGAAATTTGGGGGCATACTTATACCCGTCCTTCGCACTTCCGTTTAAGTAGTAGTTCTTCCCAATCAACTTTTCCAATTGAGATTGAACATTTACCAACTTCTTTGCCGGGAACTCGAACTCGACGACCGGAACACGAGCCTCTTTGAGATACTTTAGGAAGCCGACTTCGTTGGGTAGTAGAAACATTAGTGAGCGACCCTTCCCATCAGATCCACGGGCCGTCCGACCGACTCGGTGGATGTAGTCTCTCGGGTCATCTGGGGGGTCGAATTGGACGATCCAATCTACTGCTGGAATCTGGAAACCCAATTAGCCTAGGGACCCGGGAGTGAGGGAGGAAGCAGGGAAACAAACATCAAGCCCACGCGCAGCAACATCTGTGCAAATCAAAGTCCCCTTCTCAGCATTCTTGAACTCAAAAAACGTATTCGTCCGTTTCTGCTGCTTCTGCTTTCCATGGAGGTCAAGTACCGGCAAATCGATATAATTCAGCAATTCGGCATAGTACTTGACGCTAGCACAACTACTAAAGAAGACAATAATCTTCTTCTTACTGAATCTCTTCAAAAAGGAGAATAGCAGAAGAAACCTCTTGTCCGCCTCGCAAATAACGTATCCCTGCTCCAACCCTTCAACAGTAGACGCCTCCTTGTGATAATCCACATTTATGTACAATGGCCCAGGTCTCAATGAGATTCTCGCCAAATCCTCAACCTTTGTGGTCTGTGTAGCGGAGAACAACATGGTTTGTCGATCCTGGGAGGGTATGATCTTGATAATCTGCCGCATCTCGTCTTCGAAGCCCATTTCGAGTATTCGATCGGCCTCGTCGAGTACCAATGCTCTGAGGTTCTTGAACACAAAGCCGGGTGTGTTTTGTAGATGATCTAGTAACCTGCCCGGGGTAGCAATTAAGAGGTTAACCCCGCGGGATAGTTTATCCGCTTCGTTCCGCCTATTCGCTCCGCCAATCACGATCCCAAGCGTTTGACTATGGTATTCCAGCAACTCGTGCGCCACGCCATAGATTTGCAACGCCAGTTCACGGGTAGGCGTGATCACCAGACACCCGGTTCCATTTCGTGGTTTGAATTTGAGAGAAGTCAGCATCTCGATAGCGGGAATTAGGAATGCAAGGGTTTTCCCGCTGCCAGTTTTAGCAGCTCCAAGAACCTATATCTCGCCATTAGCATCCCAAATGCTCACAAAGAGGGGAGCAAGGAAGGAGTCACTCATACATCTCTCCCAGCCATCAGGGGAGGAATAGTCCGACTCTGAACATCGGTCATTTTCTCGAAACCCATTGCCGTGATAACTTTCTGAGTAGCATCAGAGAGATTAAGGTCGGTAAATTTAACCGGGTTCTCCCCAGTTACCGGAAGCGATAGCGAAGCATTAAGCGGGATGCCGTCTGGTTCAGTAGCAATACCCGCGCCGGGACGTCCCGGGGTATCGGCCTCATCAGCATCATTACTCTCCTCCTCCTCTTCCCCATCATTCTTGTCATCTCGATCACTATCATATCCATCGCTTGGTTGTTTTTTCCCACAAGATAACGCCTTGACTTCCTTCTCTCCTCCCTCTTCATCGGCCTCCCGAACCTCTTCTCCCTCCCCCTCATCTTCATCCTGCACTTTCTTCTCCTTCCTTCTTTTCCGCTCAAGCTTTTCCTTCTTCCTTATTTTCCTATCCTTAGCATCATCAGTAGTAGCATCTTTGCTGCTGCTGTGCTTTCGCTTCCGTTTCTTCGTGGATATCTGTGTTGCATCCATTGCATCCATTGCATCCGCGGTGCGAGGTAGGAGGGGAGGTTGGCATGAAGTGCGCAATTTTTTTTTTTGTCGTCCTCGCGTGGGATTGGCTGATCCCTGGTGGGTTAGGGTTTTCTAAAAGGAGTCTAATATTGGTTAGCGCATGTTGCCCCAAGACAATCTGATAAGATGATCGCGGGCTCCCCTACTGCTCGCTGGTTTATTTGCTAGGAGTCTATACCCCTAACCCTCCCATACCACAAGGAAAAAAACCATGTACCCTCTTAGAAAATGTAAATTCTCACCCGCTCAATTATGATACCTCATGTCCCAAACCCACTCTTAATAAGAAATGATTTGTAATATCATAGTTTTCACTTCCTTCACTGAGGAGAGTTACAATAGAATAGGGAGGTTTTGCTACGACCGTCGTCGCTAAAACTGTGCTTAATTCTTGGCAAAATTCAGTGTGGCTAGGGCTCATTTTTTTCTGTCGTTTTGCTACGACGGTCGTACTGTAGATGGACTAACTTGTTTTGTCACAAATTACATACTGTAAGACTGAGCCACTGGGTGCTATTGCACATCTGGAAAGGTTGGTGCTGTTGCTGTGGTGATAAGGACAGTGACAGATCGGTGGGTTAGGGTTGTGGACTGTCCGCAAAACAAATGAACCAGCTATGATAGTAAATTATCTTACCGGCAGCTGACACAACCTCGCAAGAATCAGAACTGCCACTCCGTAGGATCCAATTGAAGAAATTCGGTGGACAAAGTGTTTAGTCTACGTTATGGAAGGTTTTACTCTCACAGTTATGCCTACGGTGCACACCGCATCAAGGGAGTTGGCGAAGCAACAATAGCTGAGAGGAAACATGCTTACGCGTATGATACAAGCAGTCTTAGACTCCAATGAGACAGGAAACAGGTGATTTCAGGTGCGTGCGTACTGATATCCCGTTAACTGTTCCAGACATTATGGCACAGTATACGCTCAGAGGAACACTGGTAAGGGGGGCATCGCATTACATCTTATATCGTCGCCTACTGTATGGTCGGTTCCTTCTTCACAATCTGTGATCCCCCGGCAGTCGCTTCATACCGGTAAATTCAATGTTGTAAATTTACTGTATAATATCATACAATCAAAAATTACACGCCACCAGACTCTACCTCTACCGGCAGCCATCCCACAAGGACCCACGCATCAACCTCCTATCAAGCCCAATACCGCGCCGCAAACCCGACCACTACCACCGCCGCCGCCATCCCTGCACCCCGATTATAGAACCGCCAGAATCCTCCTCTCTCCCCCTCCTAGCTTCTCCACTTCCCTTCCCAACTCCTCCCTAATCAATCCCGCAATCCGTTCGCCCTCCTCATCGCTCAAATCCCCTCTAACCCCCTTCGGCCCCCTCTCCCATCCCCACCCCTCCTCCCCAGCCCCCCACCACTGCCTCCTCTCCCCCCTTTCCATCCTCTCTCTCTCCTCCCTTCCAGCTCTAGGTACCAAATGCCAATGCACATGATCAACAACCTGCCCTGCGCTCACCCCGTTATTCAGTATAACATTAAAGTCACTGACGCCGGCAACCTTCGTCGCGGCGCGGGCGAGAAGCGGCAACCACACCATCACCGCCGCACTCAAGGAGAGTGGGTGGGTGTGGAGAGTTTTGTGGTGCGAGCGGGGGATTAAGAGCAAATGTGCGGGCGACTGGGGCATTATGTCAAGGAAAGCGAGAGCATGGGGTGCCGAGAGCAGGATATGTGTCGCTGGAAATAGAGGGGCGGTGGGAGGCGAGGGGAGGTGAGGCGGAGTAGAGGGCGGGTATGAGGCGGCGATGAGACAGAATGGACAAGGGGATTCTCCTCCCGATGACATTCTCGCAGTATTAGTAAGGATGAGAAACGAACAGGAGAGTTTCCGAAACAAAATCTAATCACAATACCTGCCTTACACCGATCATCAGATAAGGTGCGACACAATCACCCGAACCAAGTACCGGCTGCCGGTAAACCACCGGCAAATTTAGCACAACACGGATAATTTCCCGACCCACAACCCCAATCCCAACCAACCAATCCCACAACGCATATTTTTAAACACTCGCGGCTGCGCTAACGCTCCAAGGGGGTTGTTATCACGGACTGCTCGTACTCGTACGGTACTGTAATCGCTTATCAACGGCCTCCAATTAACCCAAACTGAACACGTATCATCGCTGGGCGCATATATGCAAGGGGTAAAGTGTAAAGTGAAAGAGTTTTTTTTCCCAAAAAAAAAAAAAATGTTACCGGTACCTCATCCACGGTCTAGCATTGTATCATCTCGCATCGCATAGCAGCCGGGAAAGCTAAGCAGACTAACAAGCGAGCGAGTGAGCGTGGATAGAATGAGAAAGAATAGATGTGGGTGGGTGGTGTGGGCGGAGTTGCACTTAACGTTACGGCGTCGCAAAGCTTTTAAAGATAGTATGATGTTGATGACTATCACTAATGATGTGGGTGGGTGTACAGTACAGATAGAGGGTTGCCGGTCAGTGACTGCGGGAATAATCTCAGAACCTAGTAGTTAGAAGTTAGAACCGAGTTATCTCTTGTGATTGCTTGGACCGTTGGTAACGGCTTGCTAGCGCACTTCGCGATTCACTGTATTGTGATGGGTGAAATAATGAAATCCTCGGAACCAAAGCGAAAACCCATAATCCCCTTGGGTAGATGGATATATATCCCTATGCAATGGCCGTATAATGTTTGATGCCATAACGTACTTTCCCCCCCTGTGACAATCACCACTCAGCACAACGGCTCACTCAATTTCGAGTGATGGCCCTCTCTGTTTTACCCAACTTTATTCACCCCTCATCCCTACCTCTCCCTCTCGGTCTCCCTCCATCCACTACCCAAATCCGTTCAACCTCCTTAATTTAGCCCCCCCCCCGCCGCGGGCGCCCCTGTTCTCGGAAAGTAACTTAACGTTTGTTTTTCTTCTCAACAATATATTCTATTCCACCTTCCAACAAAGGAAACTAGCGAAGTCTAGAAATAAAATACACAGAGGGAATTTGAGCACATGATATAGGGTGTTTTAGGGTAGTTTTTTCTTCGGTTTTACCCAAAAAATGCAGGTATGATATGGGGTATATTATTATTTTTTTGGTTATGTAACGGGTTGCATACATTAGGCGGTAGGGTTTTCACTCGTCCACGGATGGAGAGAGGGGGAGGGGGAATAGAGACTAGGGAACGGGAGAAAGGGGGTAGGTACAAAGGAAAGGCGTTAGGGTAGATTGTCTTTTTTCTTCTCTTGTGAGGGTGGCATGGGGAAAGGGCGGTGGGAGTGATGTGTGGGCATACCGTAGTCTAGTAACCATAGGATGAACATGTCGTTGATGATCAGTGTAGCCCGGTTAAGCATATCACGGCGTTCAATATTAAGAAATCAATCCGGTAATAGGGTAAAAAAAATAAGTAGATATGAGACAGGAAGGGAAAAAAAAGGGGGGTAATAGAATGAGGCCCGTAAGAAAAATAACGAGAAAAAAACTAACACAGGAAGCCGTTTTTGAGGTATTGGTATCGCCAACAAGACAATAAAAATCGAACAAGGAAGACCCAAGCCAGTGTAATGTTATCGCGGCCTCCATGTCACTACCAGGAATAAATCAACTCAGTCACGCCTCCCCCGCCCATAAAGGAAATGGAAAAAGAAAATGAATAGACACAGGGAATAAGGAGAAATAGAATAACGTAAGGAAAACCAAGCCGATCCCTTGAAAGCCGAACTAATGATCACACAACCGATGGAAAGAAAAAGGAAAATAAAAACACAGAATAAGATCACAACTAACGAAGAGAGTACAAGGAGTTCCATGCACTGAACTTGAGCGCTCGATTGTCAGAACAAAAATATTTGACCATCTAGGCAATACTCCAATGTTCATGCTATGAGACTCTGTTCGACCCCAACCTTTGCCGTTCCCTCGTTGGTTCGACTTGATTCATTGCCTGGCCATTCACAACCAACCTTTTCGACCGTATCTTAAAAAAGGACTTTCTTTTTCACGTATCGTTCGTTATTAAACCCCACGAACCAATGCGACGCATGCAAGATGCCCAGAAACCTTCGTGCAAACAAGAGGATTCGCTGAACGGATATAAAACAAGGAATGTCGGTCGTTGCCAGCCGATGTAAATTTATGCAAAAGAGAGAAACGAAATTAAAAATGCATGTATCGAACAGGTTAGATTTTTGGGCAAGAATTGTGCGGAGGGATTATCGGCTGTCATCATGGGTTGTCGACTCGATGTTGACGCCGTGCGCACTAGCATTTCTCTTCGCCCATTGACGTGCATGGATGGAAGCTGCATGAAAATATTAGGATTAGAAGGCTAATACCAATAAGAAAGAAGCAGGAATATACCTTTCATGAACTTCTTGCTTGCATACTTCTTGAAGAACGCCTCATGCTTAACGGGGCGGGCAAGATAGTCGATCATCAAGCGGAAGACAGGAAGGACCTCCTCTTCGGTGTAATCAGAGTAGTGAACCAGATCGGCATCCTATTGTGGAAAAGTGAGCAACACAGCAACAAAGAAGGGCAGGGGTATTCCTACCCAGGGTCCACGTTCCAGCATCATTCTTGACAAGTACATGGCCGCGGCAGCTACGTGGCTGGGTGCGTACCCCATGAACCTATGATCCAACAAGCTGATTTCCAAGAGATACTTGGCCACAGTCCTGGTCTCGTAATCGTACTGATCGGCCTTCGAAATCCTTCTCAGGAAGTTCATTGGATTGGGGTAAGACAGATTGTAGTTGAGAGTAGTCAGGACATAACGTTCAGCCTGTAAAATTTCCTCTTCTGTGAAACCATCATCGGCGACCGAGCGGAAGTACTGGACCCCAGGGGAGAAGACCTCCTCGTATTTGGCAGCGATAAACATGGCAGTAACCCCAACCAACTGGAGCTTATCCAACTCGACAATTTTGGCACTCAAGAATCTGTCGACGATATTCACAGCAAGGAATAGAGTCTCCGGGAGTAGACGGAAACGAGTGTGGACCTCAATTAACCAATCGACAAGGATACCGCGCATTTTCCACTGCAGATGTTCTTGGTTGGCCATATAGTCGGGGTTAGGCATAGTGGAGGTTTCCAGACCACGTAGGTATTCAAAAATCTCGTTAACATACTCGGAAACCATCAAAGGGTCATCACGATCCTCCTCATCGAGGTCATTGTGTGCCAGGCGCTCCTCCACACGCGGCTTTTTGCTAACGCGAATCACCTCGGGCTCGGATTTAGATGGTACTTCGATTTCGACGCTTGAGATGGTGACCTTTGCGGATTCGACTTCCCTTTCCTTATCCTCCTCCTTTTTGACCTTGGTACTGCCAGCACCGGGAACACCTGTAGCAGCCTTCTTCCTGCGAGCGGCCAAAACACCTGAACCGCTATTGGTCCTCTTAGTCTCCTCCGGTGCAACGCTCTTGATGGGTTGTGCCTTTGCACGCGTCTGTTTTGTAACCCCATTGACGGTCTTTGTTGATAGAGTAGGTTTTCCACCCTTCTTCCCACCAACCTTCTTATCCTCCACACCATCAGCCTTGACAACATTGCTCACATCACCCAGAGCAGAACGTTTTCGATTGCCGGGCAAAGCACTGGTAGTGGCGGTTTTTGTAGGTAGCGGGGCAGCTGGATCAGATGAAGTGAGCGCAGCTGCTTTAGCACGGGTCAAACGAGTGGAGACACCCGCAGCGCCTCGGTTCTCATCATTGTTATCGATATTGCTCGAGGAGCGCTGACGAGTAGCTCGACGCTATGAGGAATAAGGTATCAGTGTCGGGGGCATCAAAATATGTGTGCAACACGCGAGATTTCGTAGGGGATACAACAATCGCGTATTCTCGCGTATATCACGTACATAAGAGATGGCGAAGGATACTTACCGCTTGCATTTTGATACAACACTGATGTGGTTGTGTTGTGATGGTAATGGTTTGGAATTGGTGCAACGAAAGCGTGGCAATGGGTATTTAGAAAACAATTGACTTTTTAGGGTATTTAGTCCTCGACCCGGTGATCGGGTTTTAATCTAGCCCTGGAGAAAATTATTAGCGGCTTAAGAATGGTACGGTACGGGATTCACGTCACAAACCCGAGAATAAGAAAGGCAGACGCAAAAGGCCACTGATTGGACAGCAGACCGGCTGGCGAGAAAGATCTTGGATCTTGACCTTTTCTCGAAAAACGTTCTACTACCGACACGAGTGTACGTGTTTAAGGAATCCGTAACCAATGAGGACTTCTGGACTCAACAGCAAAAGCGATGCGGTAAACGACACGGTGCGTGGTGGTCGAGACGGGAGAAACCAGTACGTGATTGCAGGACCGGTGAATTAATCACGAAGGTTTTCAAGGGAGAGAAGGAGGGAGTGGAATGGTGGAGAGGAGGAAGAAGGGAGAAGAGGGGAGGTCGAGGTTGAAGAGGGAAAGAGAGTGTGTTTGTGTTGTTGTGGGAAGAGAGAGGAGAGGAACGTTGTGGTGGTGGGAGGTTGTGTTGAGGTTTAGCTCTGTGGGAAAGAGGTATGTTGGTTAATGGGGCTTCGGGTTCCATTCATGCCAAGACCGATGATTTTCATGTTGAAAACCTCACTTACTGCAATGGGGCTTCGAGGCAACGAGCGGAAATCGACTAGCGCAGTAGCAACGCGCTTGAAGAATCCGCGAGGGGTTACTTTTTTTTTTTTTCCTCTTTCAATACGAATACCGGCGGATTCTCTAAAGCAGGTTATAAGTAGGATATCCCTTTACCGGACCTGAGAACACTTGAATAGACGGGCGCCATTTCTTGTTAAAGGTCATTCAAGGCATGTTCAGGGAGTTGAATTTCCGCAGCGGGATTTAATGTTTTTATTTTTTTTATATTTTTCCTGTTTTCCCTTCCGACCTTTACCCTGCTCGCGAGCGAGGGGTACTGTACCTTTTGGGACTATTTTTCTCACGTCCGCCCTCATACCCACCTGATCCTGGTTCAAGGGAAGTAAACAAAGGCGGCGCGTGGACGGGGTTTCCAGAGCAACACACGAACACGGTCTACTGCGGTAACACTGCAAAGTGAGGGGAGGGACGGAAGGAGAAGTCAGGTCGCACGGAAAGAAAGGTCACCGATTTCGTTTCACAAGGGTATCTACGAGTACTGTCAAATTGTTTATCGATATTGGGAGTTGCCGGCTTGATAGGTCCAGGCCATGAATCAAGAGTGAAGGGAAAAGGAAAAAAAAAACTCCCCTTCAAACGTCGGATACCGTATCCAAGGAATGAGGATTTCTCCTGGCGAACGAAATCCCCCTCCTTCAACCTCTCCCTCCGTCCCTCGCGAGATGGGCCACCGGTACTGCGCTCTGGACCGTTCCCCGTTCTAGCCGCTAAACATAAACAAAACAGGACGTCACACTTCCTATCATGGTAAAAGCTCATCGTGAAATGCTCAGAGATCCTGTCCCATCTGGGCCACCCAAAACGAGAACATCCAATCCTGGCTCAGCAAAGCGCAGCCAAGGCTCGAAGTGGGGTCGGAAGGGGGTGAAACCTATTTTCGGTGTGTGATGCATTTATCGCGACAAGGCGTAGGAGAGGATTCGTCCACCACTCCGGGTCTTCCCCTCCAGCCTGACTTAAGCGGAACCTGCTCGAGTGCTCGATCGGATAGAGCATCCTCACACTGTTTACCATACCGGCACAGTTCCGCTATTTTGCCAGCAGTCGTGCAAAACACCCTGATTGCCCTCCCCCCCTCCCTCCCCCGCAATCGCTTCCTTTTTTTTCCTATCCAACCCCTCCCCTCCTTCCTTAGCTGGTTGGCATTCTGCGAGTGCAAAACTGCTACTGGTACGATAACCGGTAGTAGGAGTACCCGAATCCGTGCTCGTACTGTTCCCTCCCGTGCTTCCCCGGCTAGCATAGGACGTCATGTCGCTACGCCGGACGTTATCCCCCCATGTTCAGCTGGATGAGCAGGCTCTGAGGAGGAGGGAGCACAATACTCGGGAGAGGCCGAGTGTTTACTCCAGGTCTCGTAACTCTCAGTCTTCGTTCCGGTCTGGCCCGTCACGTCCTTCCAGGGCCACTTCCGGTGCCAGAACACCCATTGATCCGTGCTCGCCAAGAGCCAGTGTTTCTGCTCTGCACCTACAGCATCTGCTGGAAAACCTGGAACTTGATCAGTACAACACATACGGCGTTGAAGAGCTTCGGGATGGTTTCTTCGATGCATCCTTTTATCGCCCCATTGAACAGAATTCTGGCGAAGACGGAGAAGCGGAGCCTCTCCTTCCACCGGAAATTTCTACTTTCAAGCGCCCTTGGTCGCCAAGGACCCTTATCTACTCTCTCGTTGAGGATGTCAGGTTCTTTTTCCGCTTAACGTTTAGGACTGAACAGGGTTTTTCTCTCGCAAAATCTTTTCTCGCCTACTTTGTGGGGTACATATTGTGTTTGGTGCCCCAGAGTCGGGCGTGGCTGGGCAGGTATTCATACTGGATCACTGTTGCCATTCTTTTCAATCACCCTGGGCGCACACTTGGCGCACAGGTTGATGCAACTGTGGCGTGCTCGATAGGAGCGGTGTTTGGTTTGGCGGTTGGCAGCCTTTCCCTTGAGGTGGCTAGCTCTCCTCGTAATACTCAGGTTGGTCGTGGTGGGGTAATAGCCGTATTTTGGGTGATATTTATTGGTGCCGCTAGCTGGATTAGATGTTCACTCGTGAAGCTCTATCAATTAATGATTAGCGTCGGATTGGCCATTATATTTCTTTGCCTTGTTGGCTCGGACGCGCTAGATAGCACGGGTGACTGGGATCGAGGTGTTCTTTGGGAATTTGGAATGCCTTGGGTAGTTGGTTTGGGGATTTGCTTGATTATCAATATTATCATCCGGCCAGATGCTGGTGGGAAGGCTGTAGCGTATGACAACCAATTTCTATTTAAATTTCATCATTTATTGGGTTTGTGGATTAGAGTTGCGTGTATCTCTCCGCCCATGTCTCTTATTCTTTCGGCCTTCACTGATACCTAGCAGGGGAGCATTACATAAAGCAGTCATCTCCGCTATAGGTGGCCTGGTTCTACCTAGACCCTATTCCCCCACTACTCATCGAAATATGAATTTACAGCTCGTTAATCTCTCCGAAGCAATCAGAGATATGCGGGGGGAGATCGTTATCTCCTATTTGAGGCCCGGCGACGCAGAGCAACTGCGGAATTTTATGCAGGCTGTAATTAGAGACATTATGGCCATTAAACCAGATGGAAATTTGTTTGAAGACCAGTCCTCTCGTGGGGCGGGGATGAGTGGGGGTGTCGGTCAGTCGGGCCATTCCATCGTGATTGAAATCGAACCCCCCGGCGTGAGAAGTGCGGGGGCATCATCTCTTGCCACTTCGACGGAGGATCATTTGAAGATTGTAAGGGAGACGATGGAAGTACCTGCAAGAGAGCTGATCAGTGCAATGACTGAAGTGCTGCTTGGATGCGATAAGGAGCTGATGGGCTATGCTGGACATAAGAAACTACTAGGATCCTTAGAGGGTTATCGCGGTATTAGCCTTGGATCTGCGAGAGATCGTCTCCTCGAGACCATGCGTGTCTTTGACGAATCTGATATATCCTTAATTGGTCATCAGAGTCTTCCGTCCTCATACTCCGCTCACCCCGAACTTGTTGAAATGTTTCTGTTCATTCACCCACTTCGCCAGACTGCAGATTCCGTAGAGAAGCTGGCCGACCGTGTGCTCCGAATAGTGAGCATGCAAAGGCGCAAACGAATATTCCTTCCGTCGTACCCTCTGCAAAAAGCACTATACCGAACAAATCCTCAGGTCCGTCACGACCGCGGGGGCCTAACAGCAGGCTACTACTTCAAAAACAAGCAAAATATAGAAAAAGCGATGGAGACATATCAAGCAAAGTCGTTCGTTCCATCCCCCACGTCCCCCATCGCAGGGGGCGAGAGGACTCCAGAAACCGGACCGGAAGCCACGGGTTCCAACCCGCCCACATCAGCAGAACCCCGGGCGTTCCGGTACAGAGCCTGGCGAGTACTGCATAGACTCCAGCAATGGGAGACGAGATTTGCATTCAAGGTCGTCTTTGTAACAATTGCCTTGAGCATACCGGCTTGGGTGGAGAGCAGCCGTGTGTGGTATCTGGAGAATGAGTGTTGGTGGTCGGTGATTGCGGCTTGGTTCATGATGCATCCACGTGTAGGTGGAAATGCACAGGATTTAATCACGCGGAGCATAACAACCGCCGTTGGGTCTGCATGGGCTGGCCTTGGGCACGCGGCCGGTCGTGGAAATCCATATGTTCTTGCGGTGTTCACGGCGATCTTTATGGTCCCTTGCAGTGAGTTGAGGCGTTCCTTTGTTTCAAAGCTGATCATCATGCTCTGTTTCCCGGGATGGAACGTATCAACGGGAGTGCATGATTTTTTTTAACGTTGCATTTATTTTAATTTTATAGTGTTTAGATTTACTTCCTCATCGCATCCGCGTTCCGGTCTCATGGGTTGCATAAGTTATTCCGTGGTGTCTCTCAGTGCATACACCCTTCATGATTCCACCATAGACATTCCTTCGCCAGCGAAAATTGCCTGGACCCGAGGCGTCTCGTTGATCGTTGGAATAGTATCAGCGGTGGTAGTAAACTGGGTGATCTGGCCATTCGTCGCGAGGCACGAACTTCGAAAATCGCTATCGTTCATGATGCTCAATCTTGGGATTTCTTACAGAGGTGTCGTTGCTAGGTAGAATCTTCATTTGTTCTCTGCTTTTCTTTTCCTCCCCATTTTCATTAAATTACCGGTAATCCGAGTATTTATCCTCATATTCACATGCACAACTCGCACCTGTGCAGGCATGCTAACACAAAAGCCCATCCCCCATCCGCCGTGCCGGTCGGAATGGGCTTATGATTGTGCAGGTACATCTACTACGAGGCCAGCTCTCAGCCAACAGAAGAGGATCTCGACCGATCCGAGACACAAGAAGCGAGATTAAGGGAAGGCACGTGATCCCGCACTAACCCCCATGCAGAACTAATTAGGAATTATTTATCCTGCGCGTTTGATTGGTCTGTTGTTTCTTTGGTGATGGTACAAGTTGTGCTGATTATTCCGGCTTGGAATTTCTTATAGGATTTGTCCGGATGAGAGAATTGCTGGAAATGACTCGGCATGAGATTGTCAGCTCCTCCCCCTTTTTTTTGGACTTGTTTTGTCGTTTTGTCGTCGCTTCTACTCGTATTCCATCCCCTCCCCTATTTCGTACATGATATTAGTTGGGTTATTTCGCACAGTACCATACCCCAAATTTGTTCATCGCCATACCATACCATACCCCCTGTGCCCCCCCCTCGCCAAACTAACAAAAACAGCGAATCCGAGCCCCCTTCGATCCATCCCCATACGCCGCGGCAATATCCTCCTGCGAGCGGTTCCTAGAGCACATAGTCGAGGTCCGCCAAGCAAGTCTCTACTTTCAACCATTCCTATTCAATGGTTCCTCCCCCTATCCCGTCCCTACACCCTCTCCGAGCTGACGCAATTATCCGAAGGCTCCGAAGAATTCACCAGAAAAATGATCCCGGTCCGTCGCGACGCGGTAGCTAGCATTCTAATGAACCTATACATCCTGGCCGGTGCACTCCGCGCTAAGCGGCCAGTGCCTAGGTACCTGCCTTCCGCGGCGGCGGCAAGGAAAAGGCTTTTGGATAGGATGGCGGAGATTGAGAAGGAGAGTGAGATGGAGAGGGTTGTTAGGCCCAGAAGTGGGGAGCGGGGGAGAAGGTGGGCGGATGTTTATCGTGAGGCCTTTTTTTTTTCCTTTTCACTTTCCCCCCCGAATATTAATGGAGAGGCTAACGTAGGGGGGTTGGTAGAGTATGCCTATTCTTCGGCTTTGACGGATATTGTCGAGCAGTTGGAGCTGTTGCAGAGGTGTACCAAGGCGATTACTGGGGAGATGGCGTTAGATTTTCCGGATTGATAGGGTGATATGATATGTATGGTGGCGGTCATCTATAACATGTACTATGGGCGGGTGCACCTTGTACTTGTAATGCTTTGCATGATTAGGGTTCAGGGTATTCTAATTCTAAATGCAGATTTTGGAGTGCAGCGGTTCAAGTCCAGTACAGGATATATATATTTTTTTCAAATTGTACTCATGTTTATCGCTTTTGGTTTCGTTAGTTCACTGCTCAGTCCTTCCCGATTTTAATTCCCCATTATCAACAACATAGAGCCACACCAAATGCACAATTGTTTTGAATCTTCACTTTCCTCATTTTTCTTTTCTATATCTTCGAGTTGGAAGTTAGAATCTTGGTACGGTATTGAGTAAAATGTGAAACACCGAAAAAAATATCAGGTGTGATGTGACTCGAACTACGGTACTACACTCCAAAACCCGCATTTCGAATTATAATACTCTTAACCCTGATAATATAGAGCATGACAAGCCTTAGCCCTTCGCCCCACTGCACTCCGTTCCCTGATACCAGGCTGCGTGTTATGATACCGGCGCAAAATTTCCCTCTCATTCCCTATCAACCTGATCCGCCGAATGTAGTAGTCGGCAGTAGTGACAACCACCGTCCCGCCCTTCGCTCCTCCAAGAATGTGCTTCCCTTCCAACTCCCGCAGGGGTGCGATATGATATCATATGATGTTTGTGGTCACGGATAGTCACTCGTGGGCTTCACTGTGAGTGCTGTTAACCCTGTGCAATTAGAAGGAGCTTAGGAGTTATAATCATTATCGAACGATTCGTCGGGTGGGGGTAGAAAAGACAACGGAACCCTGCGCTGTGGGACTGTGGCGCTGGAGGTCTTGAATCCCCTGGACAAGGCTGTATGGCGGATTAGCACATTCTGCGGGGTGGTCTCACAAGATCCGGCTCTGGGCCATACTCATGGAGGTGAGGTCGGCAGCCGGCGGAGGCGGTAGAAGGGAAAAAAGGAAGGATATTTGCCTCATTTGGTCTGGAAGAGAAGCTGCAGCTGCAGACTATTTAGCACGAGGATGAGTGAATTGGCCTGTGGCGCGGTCATTCACTGTCGGCCTGCTAAAGTTGCCGAAGAAACATGCAATGGATTGTGGTTAATCGTGGGGCTTCAGGAATGCCCGACAAGGTCTCTTTTGTTCTAAAGTTATCCTAGTTGACGGTGAGGTTTTCTAGACATGTCTTTACGTTGTTATAACGTGTGTGGGTGGAGTAATGGGGACACGTATTGAGGAACTGAGAGACGTGTGGCGGTCCATTGAGGTATTGGGATGCTTTTTTCTGTTTGCTTCACCTAATGTGCTCCTGTCTTTGCCCTTGGTTTGGACGGGATGTCAAACGAGAGAGCAAAGTTTATGAGTGTACCTTTCCTGCAATTCCCCCATGCCGATCCAAGTCGTATTCTATTCTGCTCTCTATACAACCGGACTATTTGAAAAGTGACACAGGGCACAGCAGAGTGGTATGGGCCACTGGATTCACCGGATATAGTGTCTGATAGTATTACGATTTAAGTAGCTTTCTGCTATGTTGAGTGAGCTGTACTAAAAAAACTTGGGATGAGGCTGGCGGTACTCTTGAAGAGCAAGGTGGATAAACTGCACACTGGAAGCCTTCTTTCCTACGACAACAAGGCCTTGAAAACAGGTTATAAGTGATCTCGTCTAAGGATTATTTTTGCGATTGAGATTAGGTGACCCTGTCTGAATTGCTAAGGCTGGGGATAGTTTATCTAGTTTCAGGGGCCTCCCCGAGTAAGTGATTTATATCAAAGTGGCCATGTTAGGCCTCGCTTTCTCCCCACCCTATCCCTATATTCGATCTAGTGTTGCGTCGTGGACATCCCCCAATCCCAAACCATCGGACATTGTATTGAGCTCTGGTGGCCTGCGATGGATTGTGGTTTTTTGTAGATTACCATTGATATTCCGCGAGACAAATTGTAAGCAGGATATATATCTATCGGTTGATGACTTAACATAGCTTTCGCCACTCTGCTTGCTTCTACATTCATGGAAATATCTTCTAGAGTTTTCCTCCGGACGCCTGCCTCCCGGTTTCTGTCCATCGTACCCGGAGCTATGCCCTCGTCCAGCGAGGCAAGAAGATATCTAATACCACTTCTCCGGCAAGTGATAGATATAATATCACTACTCTTCCGGGGGGACGCTTCCCAATTTCGGCTTGGGTGACCTGCCTGTCACAAATATCGGAGCGGCTGGGGATGTCTGGATGATTTGATTTAGCGAATCCAAAACCTTGATCCTGTATCCCGGAACGCATTTATCTGTAGCATTGATGAACATGAAGATGCACCTTTTGGGAATGGTGGTCTGCAGAATCTTCACGATATCGGCAAATATCAACTCCTGTCCGCCAATGACAATTTCCTCGACTGGGTGGATCCACGCAATTTCCCCTGGGACCCCTTCCGGCCCGCTCGCAAATGCCTGAGTAGGCCGCCCAGCATGCCTGTGCATTACTACTCCTTTTTGGCGGTAAAGTCAAGGGACAACACCCAGCGGCGACATTTTGCCCTCTAGCGTGATCGTACAACCTGTTTACCACCAGTAAGTGAATACGACAGCTGACTAGCACTTTCATTTTCTCTTCCGTTTTTTGAAGCGGGTCGTCCTTTTTACCTAATATATGTTTTGCCGGTGCCTGGGTTCCCACAGCAAAATAAAACTGCCTTAGCGGATTCACCTCCCCGATCATCGGAACACCAGCTTCTAAATTATTTCCTCGGTAAAAGCCATTCCCCCGCCTCTCCCACTCGGCGGTCTCGAATGTCCCGATGCCGGAACTTGGGATCTAGTGGGTATAGCCGGGCTAGGATACCAGACCGCGCATACCAAGCAACACAGCAATTTGACATTTTAACAGTTGAGATGGTGTTCGAGGAGTTGACATTATTACTAAAATATTATAAGACTTTTCTTTATTTCGTAGGTTGTGATATTGCAGGTGGTGTAGGTGGTGGGCCCGATAACCTAGACTGCCATAATGCAACTCTTGGAATTGAAGAAAGCGGGTTCTCTTGTAGAACGTCGTGGCCGCAAAACGTAAACAAAACTCCCGGATTAGTGCAGACTGCCCAATACCACCTTGATTCCATTTCGGTTTGCTTTCACACATGACTACACTTGGGCCCTATTATCTCCGAGTAGGTAACTTAGAGTAGGTATGGCTGCCATTTCCTCGGCAATGCTGTTTTTAGCACGGTCACAGACCATCACTCGTCTAAGTTTACTATCGGAACAATAAGCTTGCCTTGCATACGATACAACACGACACTTCACAGTATGGTGGTTTATCGTAGGCTAACTGTGCTATGTAAGGGAGGGGAGGATTTTACTTGTGGCATACGGGGGAAGGAGAGGGAAGGGAACCGAATTTATATTTTTAAATGCCCAATTAACCCCCGGTACCGCTGATGATAGTATCACGGTTCGAACCTAGCCCTTCCTCGGCGGTGTTCCCCTACACACAATCCTCCGCATATATTACAGAAACTTCATCCTGTCCAGTCTGTAGCCATCCTCTTATCTCCGCCGGTTATCTGAAATAACCAATCAAGGCTTTATGGTACGGGGTGTTCTTGTCCGACACTGTGCCCCACAGCCACAATCCACAGTACGGTGTTAGCTGTTTACGATGCCATAGAAAAAAAAATTACTGTATTATTCGAACTCTATCGCCTTAGGACATGGCAAGATTTTCTTTACTTGGCTGAGAAGATTATATGCGTTTATGACCCCCGACCTGAGCATCGGACAGAATTCCAAAAAAAGAAGAGAAATATAGTGGGCAAGGGTAGAGGTGGGAGAGGACAGAATATCCCTCCCAAGTCGGTATTGCGCAGCGCTATGGACAACTTGGTCACTCTTGCCAAGTTGCGAAACTCGATATGCATTTTTTTCCTGGGGGGGGGGAAAGGTAAGGTTATCTGGCATTTCGGCCGCTCACTAGTGATCAAAACAAGTAGAAGTTGGGGCAGAGGTTGAACCCCGTTGAGAGAATTAGCGCTCGTAGCCCATTTAGCTGACCGGGCTGAGATTGGAAACAGAGGAGGGTATTCTAGCTACTCTGAGGGCTCGAGCACTGCTCTCGAGAATCATATGGCATACGGGCGATCGGCGTCTAGACTATGAGCCAGGGGTTCTGGATGAATGCTGAGCCTCGGAGCTTATATTACTGGTATGATGCTCGTGGAAAGGAGCCTGAGGTCACGGTTGATATATTCCTTGCCGTTTCAATTTTCTTGGTAAGTGAGACTAAAAGGTGTGGAAAGCCCCCCGAAATCGCCTTCAAGCTCATATATGGAGCAGTAGCATTTAAGAATGTTCTCCATGAAACCATATTCATAACGGAGACTAACCACCGCCATGCGCTAGTTAACACCTATCTTTTACGCCGCTGTTCACAATGTGTTGGAAGTTTTTGGACTTCATTTCTCTCCACAATATTTAAGCAGCCCTGGCGTCTATACTTTTCAGGAAAAAGGCGAAAAGGAACAAGAAATGTGGAGGGAGGATTTGTAACCAGAAAACAATAAAAGTAGATGGTATTATGATGGAAATTTCAAGCCACATTGACTTATCCCAACGCATTGGGAATAGCCCCCCGCCAACCCCAAACTTTGGATTATAAATAGAAACTCCTAAATCCAAGCCCGACCGCATTAGAGAGTGAGTATAAGAGGTTCGGAGGGTACGTGATAGATACTCGCATTCCCATTTAAATAGAGTTTCTGTCGCGGGCTTACACTAAGAGGAGTGGAAAGACCACAGTTACCAGAGGGCAGCGTGTTAAACTGTGGTAGGGTACTAGGTAGGGATGATGGGAAATAATGATGTTGATAGATATGTTAATAGAATCGCTGCGGCCCTTGCAGAAATGGCAGCTTTAGTTTGTCCGTGTTCAAAGGTGGTAATAGGACGATGCGTCCTTGGTCTTAGGCTGTTCTA